CACAGTATCATAGACTGTTTTAACTATCAGCTGCCTTAGAAACCTGCTAGTCCACTACCCAGAGACAGAGTAAATTGCAGCAACGAGTCAGAAGGACAGCTGTGATTGGAACTCAGTAATGCTCCCCCTTTTGTCTCCTGCCTTAAACACTGGGAACAAGGGAGGGAAGGAACAAGATCATTCGAGCACCTACTAGTGACCTGCCTAAACCTTTACTGTTTATGTCCTTGGGTCAGAGCCTGGGATGAGTGTAAGGCAGAGATGGCAAGATGAAATGCTTCCTAGCCTTTGAACTAAAAACTGTAAAAAGTAGAGAAAGAGAGCCAGACAGAATCCATCTTCGTGCTGTGTTTGGCTCACAGTCCACAGCTGTGATCTCTGGTAGGGTAGAGGTGTACCTTCAGCTCCATTATATTTGCACTGAAATCTGCTTCTGCACAAGCACGGGTTTGAACAAAGTGCCATCAGGACATTCTCCCAATCAGAAATTGATGCCCCCACAGAATCCACTTGGGAGATGAGAGACAGTTCTTCTCTGCTCTGAACTCAGGAAGGAGTGCCTGAATTGAGAAGAAAATTTGAGGTCCACTGGAGAAAGAACCGAAGGGCAGAAGTGGAATTTTGGTTAAATCTTTAACTCTTTAAGTCAGGGCTGGCTAAGGTCTGAAAGGTAGTATCATGTGCTGAGCTGGTAGCAAGCTGAGAACTATCAGGATAATATTTGAACTCATTGTTTTAGAAGAATTCAGAAATTAAGCATCAAACTGAATTCCTTAAACATCTGACCTACTTGTTCTGTAGATACTAAAATTTCACTGCCTAATTAGAGATCCCATTTCAGATGCAAATTCTTCTGAGGCAGCAGTTAGATAAATTAAATTTACTCTGAAATATAAGACTATCAGGCTTTCCTAGGAATGGTTTTGAGGGGAAAACAAGGTGTATAGTGTGGAGTAGGTAAAGAATTTCAGGGTAGGCGTGTTGGAGACATGGGCATGTGTGCTGTTGTTTGTCAAAGAGCTTGAAACGGCACTGTACTCCCAGGCTTTCGCAGATTTTCTGGAAAACTGGTGTGCAGGGGATGGCTGTCCACACCTGTCCATGCCCCCATCCTGGTGTGCTTACATTGAAGAACCTAAGAACCCTAGAAAGAGGGAAAGGAAGCACCAAGGGGAGGCTGGAGAATCTAAAGATGAAATTCATTTCATAATTTTGCCTTGAGTTGACTTGAGATATTATGTTTCCATTGCTAAACTTTTTATTTGAAATTAAAAAACAATTTTTAAAAATCACTTACTCAGTTTATATATCTTCTTCATAGAAAAAGAAAAGGTAAACAGAGAAGTAGAGTCGCATTCTCCTACCACCCTTGGTGTTGGCAAAGATGCAGAAAATCAGGTATTCTTAAATATTCTTAGTGGGGATGTGAATCAAAATAGTACTTTTGGAGTATGATAGATTGATATAATATTCCTTGGCTTTGGTGTTCTATTCTTTAACAGTAATTAGCAAAACAGAATTTGCTAATATTTTATTTAGAATCTTTGCAAATACATTTGTGAGGTCAGTACAATACCATTCTTGTATTTTGACTGCACTAACTTTTCAGTAGGAATGGGAAGCTCTTTAAATTTACTTATGCCCCGGAACAGTTAACATAGCAAAGGAACTCTCCTTCTAGCAGGTTTGGTAGGACGTTTATAGTCTAGCACTGAGGTATTTTGAGGGATAGATCCCTAATCATCTTTACAAATTTTTCAACAGTTATTAATCAGTTTAGATTTTCTGCCTCTCCTGGACTCAATTTCATATATTTTCCAATGTAATCAAACATTTCACCAATATTTTCAAATTTATTGGTATACAGTTGTACACAGAATTCTTTTATCACTTTAAAAATCTCCTTTATATATAGAATTATACAGCAATTTTTTTCACTCTTTATTTTTCACTTGACTAAAATCATTGTCAGCTCAAAGAATCAGGTTTTCATTTTATTGATCAATATTATTATTCACAATGTGAAGTTACTGTCCTCAGCTCATTCACTTCTTCTAGCTGTTCTCTTCCTAGAAGTTGACTTCTTGGTCAATTTTTATTCTTTCTTGTTTCTAATAAATACATTTAAGGTTATGAATTGTACATGTTTTTATATGTACAGTGTCATTTTCATTCACTTTTAAATATATGCAACTTATTTTCTCTTAAAATTGTTTTTAATATTAGACTGCATATGTATATATATATTTGTAACATTTTGTAAATGTATTATTTTGTTTGAAAAAGTGTTAATGAAAAAAAAGTGTTTATGTTCTATTTGCTGGGTACAGAGTTTAATATTACATATAGATTACATTTAATAACTTTTATTCAAATACTCCTATTTGATTTCTGGCATTTGAGAAAATGAACTCCCTTTGGTTGACAAAATTCTTTAACATTTTGCGAAAGGTTCTGGCTTCTGGTAAGGAACACGCTGATTCATATGGAAAGTGGGGAAGAAATCGGAGGAAATTCAAACACATCTGGAAATGAGCAAACTAAAGATCAGTGGAAAGTGATATTCAAAATTTTCCCAGAAAATTTGTGTCATAAATAAGTTCAACTATCTGTCGTCAAGTTCCATATAAACTACATGTTGATTTTCCATGTAATACTCTTAACAAGACTCACAGTTTCACCTTGAAGTGGGTGAATAAAAAACAGTGCCACAGAGATAAAAATTAGAAGAAATTAATGTAACTCTATTGTGTCCTACTTTAAAAAGACTGTGATGTATGAATTCACACATTAGATTAATAAATGACTGACTTTCAAAGGGTATTTTATTAAACGATGCATTTGCTAGTTTATTTTAAAGGTGTCTTCCTTCTACCCTTACTTAACGGTTCAGTGTATGTCACTCAGTAACAGACTGTCTCATAGGTTAACGTGCACCCACACTGCCACCCACCTCATGCTCTCTCAAGGGACCTTCATGCATGAACAAGTTGGTAATTTAATGAAGAGTGCCAGAGAATGGAAGAGATTCTCCTTTTTGACAGTAATCCTTGACTCTCTTTTCTCTCTTTCTCCCACTGCAATCTAAGAACACTCTGGTTTGTTTTTCTCTCCCCAAGAAATGCAATTCAGAGGTCAGAAGCCCACCAGTTCCAATACAAGTGACAATATTTTCTTATTATAAAGTCATTATAAATGACATGACTGTCATTAAAATTGTAGAAAATTTAGAAAAAGTCAAATGAAAAATAATTTCTGATATCCCAAGTCCTACTCAAAGACAACAACTGATGATATTTTGGTTTATTTCTTTCAAGTCTTCTTTCCTTTTTTTTCTTTTTTTTTGTAGGCAGAGTATGTGTATGTCTGTGTGTGTGTGTGGGGGAATATTTGTGAAGTACTATCTTGTATTCTCATCATCTTTTCCATTAGCATTATAATTAAACACTTTCCTGTATTACTGAGAACTTTTCAAAAACATAATGTTCAAAATCTATAGAGTATTTTGTCCAATAGATGTATATATCTCATTCAAGCAATACTTCTCTTGTTAGACAGTTACAGTGTGTCTAAAGTTTTGATATAAATAAATGCGACGAACATCTCTGCACGTAAATCCTGTTCTGTATTTGGCATCCTGTCCTTAGGATCGATTCCTAGAAGTTTGGGCATCTTGTCATGAATTGTCTAAGAGCTTGAAATGAGTATTTTATAAAAATATGTAAACTACATAAAAAGCTAGTTGGAGTAAAAGTACCGGAGAGGAGAAGGCAGCCCTTATAAAGCTGGCTGCACCAAAATGGTAGTGGCAGCAGGCACACACACAGGCTTAGAGGGCAGCTTCACACCTGGAAGGATGGGTGCTACAAGAAAGATCAGCATTCGTCCCTTCTCTGTTTGCACCTCTACCAACCACTAGGGTGAGTTTAAGTTTTTGGTTTTTGTAAAAGGGGTCTTGAAATACAGACTGACCTCACCACTTTCTCGCAGTTTTATTTTCCTTATTCTCACTTTA